CAACACAACAAAATTCTCTGGAACAACTGGAAAATGACTATTTAAAGAACATGACACCAACCATAAGGAAAACTCAGAAAGTATGTTGGAGACTATGCTCACGGAGGTCAACGTACTTTTTAGTTGCCAGTAGTTAGAATTAGAGACCACAGTTGTGCTTATTAGAAAGCCTGTTTATCCTTTTGTTTTCTCTCACACTAAATAAGAATTTATTATCTATTCCCATGACCTAGAAAGAGATCTAATAATGTATATTCCCAATTTTCTAACACAGCTAAGCATTTGCAGAAATTCTGTTGGATCTCAGGTAGTAGGTGTTAGTCTCTGCTAAGAGAAACTTAAGCCAATAAAACAACAGCTTTAACAAGTTCCAAGTGTAATGATATCTACAAATTCATAATTTCCTGTTATATAGCACGTGCAGCCAGTGCAAGGAGTCAGAGGCAAATGCTGTAGCGTTGTGAGTGTGTTAGCATTTGTCCTTCTGTCCCTTTTGAGCTGACAGTGACATCCCTGAGAGGTGCAGAGATATTGGAAAGAGGACAATGACTGCTTTCCTGTCTTTTTACCTAAATAGAGTATGTGCTTAAAGATAGAAGAGTATTGATGAGCTTTCTTTGTTTTCTTTTTTACTTCTTTTCTTTCTATTTTTTTTAGCTGTGTTGTTCAGAGATTTCAAATATGAAAAGGAAGGGTACTTATAAGTTTTTCAGTTGATGTTTTTTTGTATTGTGAAAATATATTGTTGGGATTTAGTATATTATATGATGACTTGTAACGGTAAGTCTTTGCTCCATCTGCCGCCAGAGCCCAGCCGCCTGATAGGACCCCCCAAAAGAACACATAGAGACTTCTATTAGATAAAATGCTGCTGGCCAATGATGAGGATTTCTCATCTGCTAGCTCAGTCTTAATTATCAACCATAATCATAAGACTTATCTTATGCAGGATGCCGGCGGCAAGTGTCCTGTCTTCCTGGGCTCACATGGAGGCTCTGGAACAGAGAGCAGGAGGCTGACACCAATGCCTTGATACATTAGTTTAGATCGACATTGTATTTTTCCTGAAAATTACAATATTTCAAGTAAATATATTCTAATGTATTAGCCTGAAAGAGTTAATTCGTTTATTGCTATCCCACATGTTAAAAGTGGTGAGTATGCTTTTGGTAGAACATTTTAGACATGTTATTATTTAATTTAGTAAGTTAAAGTACCTAATTAAATTTTAGAAACCCTCATAAAATAGGGTGAAGAAAAAGACAAGAATTTTTTAACAGTGAGATACAGTTTTTCTTAATATGAACCTGTTTTATATTATAATTGCATGGGAATTTTGATGCTATTTACACAGTAAATCTTACTGTGTTGTTCATTATAAATAACAAGCACACTTTAAGCCATTACCAAATATATTGATCAATTATTTTTATTTAGTTTTGTGTAAAATATTCTTGTAATCCTGTTGTAATTTATCTTTCAGATTGTCATTAAGAAGAGAGAACCATTGAATTTTGGTATCCCCGATGGTAACACGGGTTTTTCCAGTAGATTGGCGGCCACACAAGACATGCCTTTCATTCATCAATCAGTAAGTATGTTAATGAGCTCTAGGAAGAGGTTTGACCTGTTTCCTTTCTTTCTTTTTTTTTTTAAAAGAAGAGAAAAATTCTCAAGGATTTGAACAAATTTAAAAGTTCATCTATAGCTTTACCAACATAATATTTTATAAGATTACAAATTATATGGGACACTTGGTCAGGATACCATTATATACATAGAAGACAGAGACAAAATTGTGATGATATTTACAAATAGAATTTGGAGGAATTACCCCTAAAATGATTAAGGTAAGTTTTGACTTAGGAATATTTTTTCCTCATAGAGTAAGTTTCCATTTAAACTGTGGTGTCATTTAAGATGAATTTGACTTAAGGGAAGCTTTATAAAGGAAAAAGCGGTGAGCAAAGTAGAAAGTTGGGGTACCCAACACTGAGGATTATATCAACATGATCTGGGTGGGCTTTATAAACCCAAAATGAAAGTAAAACCCCCACAAGTACCTAGATGTCTCCCCAGGCCTAAGCATGCTTTGAGTTATTGATTATACCAGCTACCAGTTACAAACCCAAACACAATGAGTACTGATAGTTCTTCGTCTCACAGAGTTTCTGGGATCTAAGAATGCAGGGGAGATTAAACTGGGCGATCCTATCTGAGTTTCTAGTGAGTTTGCAAAAAGTCACTGCATTGAGGCTATAGTCAGATGCAGACTTGACCGGGTTCAGGGGGACTAGTGAGTTCACCTTCAAAGTTTACGTGAAATCTTTGTTTTTTATCATGTACTCTCCTCCAGGGCAGTTTGGATTTCCTTGTGCATAAGTAGTAATTTTTCAGGGTGTGGGAAGAGGAGGGGATTGATTATAATGAGGAGGCAGTGTTAAATGATTGCACACACAATTACAAGCTTTAATAACACATAATGCTATGAAAATATAACATTGTGTGTAGTTCTCCTTTCATGTCTTTTTCTTTAAAGACCCAATACGTTTTATTAGGGTTGCTTATGAAGGGCATGGCTGAGGGATTATTTACAGTGGCAATTTGTGGGAGTGTGAGCACCTTATCTGCGGCTACACCACTGAAGAAAATGTCTGTTCCCCAATAGGCATTAACGGATGCCTATAGGTAGTCGCTGTGGATTTTTCATATCAGATACTCTACTTTCATCCTGAAGTTTATTGTTTATGTTATGGAAACTTTACACTAAGGATATCAGCGTTTTCTGTCATCTTTTACACTTTTTCACTGTTGTTGGCTTTGCTTGGATGGTTTTGATGTATTTAGGGTGTGTGTGTGTGTGTGTGTGTGTGTGTGTGTGTGTGCATGCATGTATGCATGCATGTGTGTAGAGGTAAAATCCATGCTGAGTATCTTCTTATGACTTTCCACCTTACTTTTTGAGAGTCTACACTGAACCTAGAATCCAGCAGAGTTTAGACTGGCCAGTGAACCTCTGGGA